GTCTCCCTGCCAGTTATCAGCCTTTTTTCTAGAAATGAACGTATATCAAGCCTCCAAGTAAGTCACTTGCGTAAGTACACATTGTGTCATGGTGGAAAGAGTAGAAAGAACACTGATTTGGAGTAATGAACATCTGGAATCAAATCCATACTCAAACTCTTAGCAGACGTTAGGTTTTCTGTTGAACCTCTCTGAGTCTTTGATTCCTTATTTGAAAAATGTGTTTAATATTCACCTTGCAGGTTTTTTTTTTTTTTTTAGAAACGAGAAGAAGTGTTTAACATAGTATCTGGCATGTAGTCAGTGCTCAATGAATAGTAACGATTACCGCAATGGAGTGACAAGTCTCTTTTAGATAAATTGCTTAATTTATAAAATGAGGCTTTTGGGGGAGGGGTCTTACAAGGTCTAATCTTTTTGTCTTATACAGAATTCTGCTTTGTAATATAATAGTATTGCCTCAAAATTCACATTTCGTGTGACAGTATTGATATTTCCCGTGTTCAAACCCTGCTACTTTACTGTGCCTAGATGTTCTTTACTAGGTCATATATTCTGGAGAAAAATATCTACATACCTTCTGAATGCTAGTTTCTTTAATCAAAAGAATGAATTTGGTCTTTCAGAAGATAAATCAGTTTAACCTTAAAAACCCTTGCTTTGGAAAGTCTCCGTTTTGCCTAGAGACTGTATTTATCTAGATGTCACTTTTGTTCCCGCTAACCCTACTGTGAGTCAAGGCTAACAATTTTGGTCAGAAGACTTTCTGTTTGTTTTTTGTATTATAACCCAGGCAGATATATCCAGAGAACCCTAACGTGGCTATTGACGATAGAAACCTAGGAAACCTCTACAATCTACCAAGCACGCTTGTTTTACAGACTAGAGGAGCGTGGTGAGAGAAGTTGACACATTTCCCCAGTGTTACACGTAGGTCACCAGACTAGAAAGGAGGTTTGCCTGTCTGTCTCCAGTCCAAGGACTTCTTGCCATGAACCCAAAGGGTGTAGGTGGTCTGCTCAGGGGAAAGGACCTGGGGTTTAGACCAGATTCAGTTCACATCTCTGCTCTTCCATCTGCTCTTTGTGAATGTCATCTCTCTGAACCTCAGTTTCCTTATCCACCAAAAGGAAATCATTGTGTCGTGAAATCATTGGGGACTGCGTGGGGTGAATGAAGTAACATATGTAAGGTTTAATGTAGTGGCTGCCCTAGAACAAGCGTGTAAATAGCCGTCTTTAAGTTATTTAGTCTACTATGCTGACAAGATTGTATTTCATTTTATAAATTAGTCATGAATATTGCTTTCCTCTATGGATGTTAGGCATCTTTTATTTCACGTATTAATTAAAAAAAAAATCTGAATAGGTGGAGGGCTTGACAGAAGGCTCGTTATATGAATTCAAAATTGCTGCAGTCAACCTGGCTGGGATAGGGCAGCCTTCGGACCCCAGTGAGCACTTCAAGTGTGAAGCTTGGACCATGCCAGAGCCCGGTAAGATGCTTCCTGAGTGGACTCACTACCAGGGGTACGTCCTTTCTAACACACGAGGGCCGGTCAAAGAAGGGGCATGATTTCTGCAGTTCCGTCATGACTAACCTCTTACAGCAACATTTTACATGTTGTCTTAGTCATCTAGTGCTGCCATAACAGAAATACCACAAGTGCATGGTGTCAACAAAGAGAAATTAACTCTCTCACAGTCTAGTAGGCTACAAGTCCAAATTCAGGGCATGGCTCCAGGGGAAGCCTTTCTTTTCTTGTTTCTGGAGAAAGAGCCTTGTCATCAATCTTCCCCTGGACTAGGAGCTTCTCCATGAGGAACCCCAGGTCCAAAGGATGCACTCTGCTCCTGGTGCTGCTTTCTTGGTGCTATGAGGTCCCCAACTCTCTGCGTGCTTCCTTTTCCTTTTATCTCTTTTAAGATAAAAGGTGGTGCTGGCCACACCCCAGGGAAACTCCCTTTACATTGGATCAGGGATGTGACCTGAGCAAAGGTGTTACATCCCACCCTAATCCTCTTTAACCACAGGCAGAGATTATGATTTGTAACACACAGGAAAATCACAAAATGGAGGACAACCACACAATCATGGCCTAACTAAGTTGACACATATTTTTGGGGGACACAATTCAATCCATGACACATGCATTGTGGCATTAACTGCCATTGTGCCAGGCACTGGGGTTTAATAGTGAATAAGGCTGACACAGTTCTGCCCTCAGAGAATAGTCTGGGAAGCATATAGACAAGTAAACAGGGGAAAGAATAGAGTAACAGGGCTGAAGTCCACGGTAAGAGAGAAGCACTTCCAAGGGAACAGAGAGGGAACACAGAGGTTCCAGGCAGAAGGGTAATAGGCGTCTAGACCCAAAGTTGAGACAGCATGGAATTAGGATTCCCCTTTGCATTTTAGCTAAAGTTGTCCTCCAGACCACTTGGTGAGCCTGGGGCCTCCACTTCTACAATGTGTAATTGTTGCAAATCTGCACTAATTTAGGACTCCACATTTTTACGGGCCCTGGTGGCACAGTGGAAACCCTAGTGGTGTACTGGTTAAGAGCTATGGCTGCTAACCAAAAGGTCAGCAGTTAGAATCCACCGGCTGCTCCTTGGAAACCCTATGGGGCAGTTCTACTCTGTCCTATAGTGTTTGTATGAGTCGGAATTGCCTCGATAGCAACGGGTTTGGTTTTTTTTTTTGGTTGTGGCACAGTGGTTAAGAGCTCAGCTGCTAACATAAAGGTCAGCAGTTCGAATCCACCAGTAGTTCTACTGTGTCCTGTAGGGTCACTATGAGTTGGAACGGACTTGACGGCAATGGGGTAGATACATTTTAATTATTTTCACAAACCCTCAAGTACCAGCTGTCAGTTTCTTTGCATCCAATCAGTCAGGAATCCAACCAGATGGATGATACATGTATGCTCACGTTTTGGAAAAAAAACCTAAAAGTTGAATCTGAAAAGCTCAAAATTCAGACTGTCTTTCAATTTGTGGCTGGATACTGCTTTCATTTTTCTTTTTGCCATTTGTTTTAATGAAATTAGTTTTTGCCCCTTAGATAAACCAATGGAAAAAAAAATAAAAAGGCTGTTGAAGTTTCCAGACCCTCTCTGAGGGCTTAGTAAGAAATGTCCCAGCAACATTCAAAGGCAGGAGTGTGATCTAATTAAGATGGAGCTAGGGCCACTGGACCTTTTCCCTGTAATGCTCAAAGCCAGTCTGGATTTGTGGAATCAGTAGCACACACCTTTAGAATTGCTTCGGATGTTTGTAGGAAGCAGAGCTGAGGTTAACATGATAGTGGACCAGGTGTGTTTAGCCTGACCAGGTGGTCAGGTTCTCCGAATAATTTGTCCATGACTGACAGGTTTCTAGCCCTGTGGAGGGGCGGGGAGCAACATGAGCGTTTTTTCCTGTTCTTCACACATTTTCTCTCTGCGAGGCGCATCCGCTAATCCCTGGAGAGTAAGGTAAACTCATGAATTATTCTAAGTCTATCCATAATCACCCGGATGTCTTACAGCAGAGGCTACAGAAACATTCAGGCTGAGCTCTCCTCCCCAACTCAGCAGTGTCATGCTGAACACTCTTCATCAACACTCCTGTGGAAAGGGTGATGTATACATTTAATGAGGAATAAATAAGGATGTCTGTGGTGTAAGACAGGTACTACAGGTAGGAGGTCTTCCCTTTGCTGCATTCGTGTGTGTGTATATGCACACAGAATGAATTTGCTTTTTCAGGTCCCGCCTATGATTTGACGTTCTGTGAGGTCAGGGATTCATCGCTGGTCATGCTCTGGAAAGCCCCAGTGTATTCTGGCAGCAGTCCTGTTTCTGGATATTTTGTGGATCAAAAGGAACTGGGTGCGGAAGAATGGATCACTGTCAACGAGAAGGCAACTGCAAATCGTTATTTGAAGGTGATAGTGCTCATTCATTTATTTATTTCCTTTTGGTTGAAATGTGTTTTTGATTCTTTTGGCAGGCTAGCTCAGAGTCCCAAGGTGATCCTGTTCAAGCAAATATTCTGAACTTCGGTTATTACTGTTGGAGCACTGTTGCGCCGCTTACAGATGGTGAAGCAGTACAAAGAGGGTGCCGTTCGCCCCCTAGTCACTGTGGATTTATATAACAATCACAGCTTTCCAGCAGATGGCAATGACACATCATGAGGAAGTGGCACCTTTTTCCTGCTCGTACAGTTACCATATTGGCTTGTGGGGACTGTCTAGTTGTGTCCATTTTTCTTTCCATATTGCAGCCTAACCACTGTTAATGGTACTGCTCTCAGGCTTGGTGGTCTATCGGCTATATGTATGTGCTTTCTACAGGGATTATTAACATTATATTTTGTCCTTTCACTTCAAGCCCCATATTTAATTTACTTAGTTTTCTGTGATCGTACAATAAAAATCTATTTGATACACACACGTATACGTATATGTGTGTATATATATATATATATATACACACACACATTTATGTATGTATACACACAGTTTTAATATCTTTGGTAAAATTATAATTTGAAAATTGTTTTACTCCCTGTTTCTCCAAATGCTTTTATTTTAAGCACCTACAATTTGCCAGTTGTTGGGCCAGCTGTGACATTTGTTGTTAGACCCAGTAGGCTCATATGCCCTGGCTAATTTGCCCAGTTGCCTTGATCTGGAGGTGTTCTTCTTTGACTTCTGGTGTAGTTTAGATAGAAATGCAGTATGCACCCTTACTTAAAGAAAAGTTACATTTGAGTTAGGCACATGGTTACACATTGATAGAGGCGTAAATAGACAACCACCTTCTGGAAATTAATTAGACATGTGGAACAAGGTCTATTTCTTTTGAATGGATCAGTAAGTTTCTGAGAATCTATATTCCCAAAATAATTAGAAATTTAGTTTATTTAAAATATATATTGTTATACAATATATTATATGAAATCTATGATTGTTTAAGAGATTAACTTAATTTTGATGTGACCAAATGACGAAATATTTTGCACAGTTTAAAAAAATCACATTTAAAATAGTATTTAGTCATATAGAATATATGTTAAATATGAACACCAGATTACAAACTATTGAATATGATTTTACTTCTGCTTTAAAATATGCAAAGAAGAATGAAAGAGAATAAACCAAAATTTTAGCAAATTCTTATTCTTTGAAAGTGAGATCATGAGTGATAGCTAATCTCTTTTTTCCTTGCTAGTATGCATAGATTTTCCAACTAGAAATACGTTACTTTAAAAAGAAGACATGTTCATAATAAAATGTGAAAAAGAAGAAAATCATCTTTATTTTATATATACACCTGTGGCTTTTTCTCTGCCACCTTAAGGTCTGTGACCTGCAACAGGGAAAAACCTATGTCTTCAGAGTCCGCGCAGTGAACACAAGTGGAGTGGGGAAGCCCTCGGACACCTCTGAACCCGTGCTGGTAGAGGCAAGACCAGGTGAGATCTTACCTGTCAGCCCTTAAAGATAGCAACATGTTTTGAACTGCAGTAATTTAGTAGGGTATTCATGCAATGTATGTACGGATGAAGGAATATCCTATCCTGTTTTTAGAAGGATTTGGATTGGCTCTGCATAGAACGTGCCCAGGTTAGGAGTAGAGCACACTGGAACATCTTGCATAGTTGGCAGGTGTTCTTCTTTGGAGCAGTGAAATCCTACACAGAAATAAAGGTGATCTTTTATATAATGGCTAAGTTTTGATCAGCAAATTATAAAGCTGTTGGTAATCTTCTTGGTTGCAAGTAATAGAAACCCACTAGAAGCTACCGTCAAAGGGGAAGTGCTTGTAAAGGCTGTAGGCAAACTCACAGGATACACGGAAAAGGTGTGCCCTTGGGTCTCAGAAAATGATGGAACCGGAAACTGTGAAACGATGTTTCTTTCTGTACAGGTGACACCTTTTTTCTCCTTCTCTGGGTGTTTGCTTTTTGTTGTGTAGTTTGTCACCTGGCTTTCTCTGCTTCTCCATATTCTTGGTGACCCTAAAGCATCCATTTTTTTTAACTTTTTGAATCATTTATTTTAAATATTTTATTTTGATTGTTGTTGAGAACATACTCAGCACAACATTCACCAGTTCAACAGTTTCTCCATGTACAGTTCAGTGGCATTGATTACATACTTCGAGTCGTGCAATCATTCTCACCCTCCTTTTGTGAGTTGTTCTTCCCTCGTTAACATGAACTCACTGCCCCCTAAGTTTCCTATCTAGTTTTTCGAGTTGTTGTTGTCAGTTTGATCCCATATAGATTGTTTTTAAAGAGCACAGTGCTCAAGGCAGACATTCATTACTAGTTAAGCTAAACTATTGTTTAGTTTTAGGAAGACTTCTGGGATATTTTTGGTTTAAGGTTTAAAGATTATCTCAGGACTGCCAACTGCTCTGACAGGGATCACAAAAGAGGGTGCTGGAAAGAGTGGGAGAAAAATGTAGAAGAAAATTCAAATTCACAAAAAAAGACCAGACTTACTGGTCTCACAGAGACTGGAAGAACCCCTGAGACTATGGCCTCCGGACACCCTACTGACTCAGAACTGAAGCCACTCCTGAAGTCCACCTTTCAGCCAAAAATTAGACAGGCCTATGAAACACAATAACACACGTGAGGAACGTGCTTCTTAGTTCAGTCAAGTATGTGAGACCAAATGGGCAATGCCTGCCCCAAAACAAAGATGAGAAGGCAAGAAGGGACAGAAAAACTGGACAAGTGGACACAGGGAACCTGGGATAGAAAGGGCAAGAGTGCTGACACATTGCAGAGATTGCAACCAAAGTCACGAAACAATTTGTGTATAAATTTTTGAATGAGAAACTAATTTGTGCTGGAACTTTCATCTAAAGCACATACACACACACACACAAAGATTATCTCAGGGCAATAGTTTCAGGGAGTCATCCAGCCTCCATGGCTCCAGAAGTCTGGAGTCTACGAGAATTTGAAATTCTGTTCTGCATTTTCCACCTTTTTCTCAGGATTCTGCTATAGAATCTTTGATAAAACCGCATTTTTATGGCCTCAGTTCCATTGACTGACAGAGGCTGAGCTGTGTCTCATCCATAAAGTAGAATCTGACTGGCCCATATTGGACCAGATGTCCACCTTGGTCAAAACCTAACAAACAAACAACTCCCTCCCCCCAAAAAATGTGGAGAAAGAAACTTGTGTATGGATGCAATCAAGTAGTATACACATAACTGTTAGGGACCCAGCTCTATGAGAGGGCAAGAAGGGTTAGATCTCAGAGAGAAGAGGAATCTTTATGGCCTGGATAGGCAGCCACCAAATGTTTCCTACAGTGGTATTTGATGTAGAAATGGGAATAGAAAATGATGTGATGACTTAAAAAACAAACAAACAAACAAAAACTACCTACTCTAACATCAGCCTACTTCCTAAAGTATTTTGCTCTTTCGTTATTCTGTGGATCAGTCCTAGGTGGACATTAAGTAAAAACTGATGATTTGGCGTAAATTAAGCTCTCAGCCTCTGCCAACCTATCTCCAAAAAAAGAATCAAAGAACACTGTGTTCCTAAGACGTTCAAATTATATTCTTGCTATGCAGGCACGAAGGAAATCAGTGCCGGCGTAGACGAAGGAGGCAATATCTACTTAAGTTTTGACTGCCAAGAAATGACAGATGCATCTCACTTTACTTGGTGTAAATCCTACGAGGAGATTGCAGATTCTGAGAAGTTTAATATTGACACCGTTGGAGATCAGTAAGTCATACATAGAAGCTGACAATCGTAAACTTTTAGAAACTCGTAAAAACACAAGTAATTAACTTTTACCTACTCTTCTTCCTTTTTAGTTCAAAACTATACTTTAAGAATCCAGATAAAAAGGATGTAGGGACTTATTCTGTGTCTGTAAGTGATACGGATGGCGTGTCCTCCAGTTTGGTTTTGGATGAGAAAGGTAATATCTATATGACATAGGCTTGTCTTTTTGGGTTTTATAACTCTCTGAAAGATTGACACTAATACTGTGAAACCTGTGAGATCCGGAACTCAACGGGACTGCCTTGTTTTTGCAGGTTTTTCAAGTTTTCCACCTCTGACAGGGTGCAGTCTTGCCACTTTTTTTGCCTTACACAGGTTCTGGCTTTCACAGGTTTTACTGAATATAGAAAAGGCATATTTGTTTGGAAAAAGGGTGTGTGTTTGTAGTAAGCTTGGAATGGGGAGTATTTATATAATTAAGCCTAAAATTAGTTTAGAAATTAAACAGACTCTATAGTTTGGAGCCCTGGTGGTGCAGTGGTTAAGAGCTTCGGCTGCTAACCAATGGTTGGCAGTTAGAATCCACCAGGCGCTCCTTGGAAACCTTATGGGACAGTTCTACTCTGTCGTATAGGGTCGCTATGAGTTGGAATCGACTCGATGGCAACGTGTTTTTGGTTTATAGTTTACTCTCAATCTGCCAAGTAAAACACTAGTCCAGAACATATTGCTTATATAACCTTGTACTTTTAAAGTTGATTTTTAACACCGTTTGGCAAGCAGAAAGTAGTATAAGAACAAGTAAGTCCATAAAATTTAATGAGAGATCACAGATGGAAGAAGATTCCCTCCCTCCCCTTTTGACATTGAGTAATCTGGATGATAAAAGAAAACATAATTTTTTTTGGAAATAGTTTTTAATTTCCATGGTAAAAATCTCTTTATCTTTTACAAATAGAAGACAGCAAATGAAGTGAGAAAAGTCTGTTTAGCATGACCCAGATAAAAACAATAGTTTCTGTTAGGGAGGTTCACAGATTTGTGTTCAAAAAGCAAATGAGAATACTCTGTAAAGCTGATTCTTTTTACTACCTGGGATTACATTTATTCATGTCTATCCCTTATCTACTCTACTCATAGGTCAGGGTCAGTCTTACGAGTTTTTAAAATAAATAGTCAGTGATGTGGAACCAACTGTGTAGGCACTGGCTGGAATCCTCAGATCTGGGTTTCTTTAGGTCTTTATTAAGGTTCTTTGGTGGTTGAGGGTCCTCTCTTATAGTGCAAAGCCCTGTGAGGTGTGTTAAGCTTTATAAGAAAATTCTCTAGTTATCCACCAGCTTCTTGGTTGACACCGTGCTGAGGGTTTGGTGCTGAGGAAACCTGATACAAGATGGGGGCCTGGGGTGAGGTAGGGAGGAGGGGCAGGTAGCCAGTGTTGGAGATGGCCAGAGACTCATTCTGATGACTTCACAAGTGCAGGTCTGGCTTCGATGTTGGTTAAATTTGGGTATGATTATGCAAATTTAACAGGACCAGCAGGAGAACAGCAGAGGGGCCCTGCAGAGTGTCTGCTTTCTGGAGTCCTTGGTTTACTGTTCATAGACCAGAGAGGAAGGGAGCTGGAATCCACCAGCATGCTTATTTAAGCTGCCTTCTCTGACCCTAATTCAGAGGTCTTCAGACAATTCTTTTATTCACAAAAAATGCCGTAAAGGATTTTAAAAAGCTATGTATTTCTTTGCACCATTTTAAGCGGACATATAATATTTTTAATTTTAATTTTAAATAGTTTCAAAGGAGGAAATTTCCAGCATATTTCATACTGTCTATAGGCTTTAAATGTATTTTAGGCAAAACGCTGGAGCTGCAGATTTAGCTCATTCACTTTATGGAAGTGTCCACCATAAAACCTAACTGGGAAAGTCAGCCCTTGCTGTCAAACCAATCAACCAAACTGAGTTCACTTTCTGCTAGGAAAAGCCTGACTTCAGTTTTTACCTCAAGTAAACGTGTTCATACACACTTCCCATGACAGCCATCTTGGTTTTGAATTATAACTTTAAGAAAGAAGAAAGGAAGTTAAGGAAGGAAAGGAGAGAGAAAGAGGGAAGGAGGAAAAGAGTGAGAGAGGGACGGAAGGAGGGAAAGACAGAGGAAAGGGCTTACAGCCTTTAAGTTTTCTTAACTTGCTGCTGCCGGACTCCCAGGAGCAAAGCATTTTTTGGTTTTTACACTCATGCTAATGCATCATCATGAGATTCTGAATGGATAAGGTGCATTTCTTTTTTCTTTAGTACTGAAGGAGGATATTTCAAAAGTCAGGAGAACACAAGCAAAATCGAAGGTAGATCAATGTTAGGGAAGAGCTCCTATGGATTTTGAAGATGTGGAAATGGAACCTTTCAATCTCTCCTCTGTAAAGTTTTTCTATATTCTAGGAATGTACATGCCTCCACCCCACCTTCCCACACCCAACAAGACCACCGCCCTAACTTATCCCAAACTTTTCCATAGTAAGTGTGTAAATTAAATGGTGAGGATTTTAGTTGTAGACAACGCCGAGTTTTTTAAAGAGACTATTGTATTCAAAGTTTGCAGTTATCCTAGGTACCCTTTTCTCTTATAGTTAATGTTTCTTTCACATCCTCAAATTAGAGAAGAGTATGGGGATGCGAAATATTTGGTATTATTGAGTCTGTGCTGTTGTTGACAAATTTATCAATATACAGGTCAAAATCAATTAAAATCTTTTTTCTTTTTTTTTTTTAGAGCTTGAACGTTTGATGGCACTGAGCAATGAAATAAAAAATCCCAGTAAGTAAGCCATAACCCTGACCGTACAATTGCAAACCAGACAGGGCCTTACTCATTAACGAATGGAGCTCTTGAAGGGACAACTTTGGGAAAAGGATGGCTTCATTTTATCCCCCAGCTTACGGGCTTGTAACCTATTCATTTGAAACAAATATTAGTTTATATTATAGCTTGTAGAGACTTTTATTGCTTAGAGGGTGTTTTGAATTTCGTGTTTAGTATAGCTGTTCCTAATCCAAGTGAGATGTCTATCAAATTAATCTTCAGTCATTGAATTATACTGAATACGGAAAGAATATATATGTCTGCAATCATTGAATACATAAAGGAAGCTAGATTGTACATGCACACACGCAGAACTCACGCGGCATGAAGCTTTAAATGCAACAACAGGCTAACTAGGGTTTTATTGTTTATTTTTAGGTTTCATAACCCAATTGAATACTCTGGGTTTCACATTCTCAAAAAATTTAATAACTAGGATTGGTATTTTCCTACAACACACAGCTACTCTTTCTCACAAGAATTCATGCATTATTGACTTGCGATTTCTTTTCTTCCTGTAGCAATTCCTCTGAAATCAGAATTAGCTTATGAGCTTTTTGATAAGGGCCAGGTTCGCTTCTGGCTGCAGGCTGAGCACTTATCACCAGATGCCAGCTACAGATTTATTATTAATGACAGAGAAGTCTCTGACAGTGAGGTAAGTTCATGTGTGCATGATCTCTGCCTTTGGAGAGAGCCAAGTTTTACTTTGGTTCGTCAGTTACTTAAAGCCAATATTCCTTGTTTGTTTTCATCCCTTTTTGAGCTGTAGAAATTGGGGTGTAGAAGGTTGACAAGACAAATGACAGATGGTTGATTCTTGTAATGTTGACACATCTGGTCTGGGTTAGATAAGAGATCAGGGGTCTTTTAAATCCCAGTCTGTTTGAATTAAAAAACGACAACCTATGTTTCCGGGATGTGGAGCTTGGTTTTATGAAAAGGTTCAGGTTTACATGGGGAAAATATTCTTTATGAATCAGTTCATTTATTCTTATACTAGTGGTTTGGGAGTCATACGTTTTTGCTCTGCTGCGAGCAGTACTCCTCTTCCAGCCTACCATAAATGCCTTTCCATGGAAGACATTGTCTGGGAAGTAAATTTCTGCAACTTCCCTAGCCATGGCAAGGGCCAAGAGAGAAACAGAATTGTTAAACATATATATTATGCCACGATACAAACACTTTGGCACTTTGTTCTACTTCTGGGTACTCTATTTTGACTTTGTAATATGTGAGAAGACACTGATGATGTTTGGACACGTATCTTCTTGTCTGATGATAGTGCACTTGGGGACCCAGTTAGAGGACAGTCTGTTTGACGGGGCTTCTCTTTACTGTGCGGTGGTGGAGTTAGAATCTGCCAAATTCCACCATCTTTACTTTCTTTGTCTTCTTTGCCCTTATTAGCCAACGTGTAGAGTCACTGGTACATCAATCTATCCTTCTAAGTCCTAAATGTCTCATTCATTTGTTCACTACCCAAATATTTATCGAATGCTTGAAATGTATAAATTACTTGTGCCTTGAGGGCTGACGATATATCATTTCTCTTAACCACGTTCTTCATTCTTAGCCCAGTGCTTTTATCTGATAGGTGTTTGGTAAAGCTTAGTCAATTAAATGAATGTCTATCAAGCAGAAATCTTGCATGAAAGAAGCTCATATGATTATACTTATCCAGTCAATCTTTCTCATGGGAATCATGACACTTCTTTAAGGATTGTGCAAATGGAAGTGTTAGCTAATATGTAGAAAGCTTATAGTTTCTTTCTGCCTGCAAAAAAGTCAATGGCACAAATATTGTCTATGGGAGAGCATTGCCAGATCAAGACAATTGGAGACATTTTCTTCGGACAGAGACCATGCTATAAAATGAAATGGCATTTAGTATAGTTGCACTGTTTTTGCAGACAGCTTTTGATTAACATTGCCTACCTGCTGTATGGAGCTTATTTTAAAAAACTGATGTCATTGCCTCCTGGCTAACCTTCTGGAGTATGGCAGTACTATCTGACTTCCTTAATTAGTAATCCACAGGTAACTTTTTACATTTGAAGACGGATGCTATTTTGTGTGAGTCACATAAAAGCCAGTATTTATGGCACCCATAAAATCATTGAACTTCATCTTGCTACATGATGGCAATAGCAAGAAGCCTAATTATTTTCTAAAACCTGCAGTGCAGTAGCTGAGAATATTGAAAAGGCTATTGTATTGTTAAGAATCTGGTTGGTGAGTGTCATGCCTTTTTATTTCTCAGACCTAATTAGAGTAAGTTCCTGTAGTTCTCTACTTATAGATGTTTGAAGTGAACGTAATGTGATACAAATAAGAGCAGTTCATTTTTCTCATCAACTTGAATTTTGCTCTCCATATTCAAAAGTAAATACTCAAAACTACAAAGAAATTCAAGGACTAAGGGGAAGGTACATTCATTACAGCCACCATATAACTGTTCCTGCTTACGTTACCTCCAAGGACTATTTTAGTCCCCATGGTTGGAGACAATGTGTCTCTATTGTGCTTCCGGTAATTGATTATCATTTCTTAAAATTATCACTCTCTCCCTAAAAAAACAACCTGAGGTCATACTTTCCCATTCATTTCTATGTGTCTTTAGAATTTCAGTCATCCAATTTCCTTTTCCAGCTTCCATTTAGAAACTATCTAATGGTCTTATGCAAATACATGTTGTGATTTATATTTATATTTGAAATAATATTGGCGTTTCTAATTTAAAAGTAATTTTCCATGTTTACTAGAATGGGATTCAAAGCTTAGAAAGGGGAGTTCTGTATTCACTTAAAACCTGAAAGTCATGTTTGATTAAACAGAATCTGAATCCCCAAGGTTAACCCTTTGGGCACTTGGGTACTCATCTTCCTTTCCCAGCAGACGACAGTGTATATTTTGCAACTCTTTTGTTGATAATCTGTCATAGACAACAAACCAGTAGGAACAGAAAAGTAAGACAGTAAACCTTGTATTCATGGAATTTATCCTGCAGTTGAAGAAACACAAATTCAATTATAGAATGAGATAGAAAAAGTATAGAATTAAGGATATGTTGAAACAGTAACCCTGCTGTTGTTGAGTCTATTCTGACTCATAGCAACCCTATAGGACAGAGTGGAACTGACCCACAGGGTTTCCAAGGAACGGCTGGTGGATTCAAACTGCTGACCTTTTGGTTAGCAGCCAGATGTTCAACCACTGTACCACTAGGACTCCTGAAACAGTAAAGACGGTCACAACTCAGAGAAAGCCAAGATTTGAAAGGCTGAAGTCTTTAGGAGAGAGTTCAAGGAGTGATCTTCAGAAGGTAGAATCTGGGGAGATGAAGAGAATGAGGTATTCATGCTACCTGTGTACACAGAGAGCTGGAAATGTAATACGTGCAAGGGAGTGAAGAGGGTGGGCTGACTGGAGAGAAATTGTTTGCTTGAGAAATCCTGGGAAACATGGTTGGATAAATAGGAATGGGTTCAGAAATCAGAGGCTTTGAATGTCCAGCAGAAGAAGCAGAGTGAAATAAACTTAGAGATGAACTCTAAACTGGGTTGGTATTTTGCTAATATTGATATTTTAAACTCCCTCTTGCTATACTGGCATTTAGAATGTCAAAATGGAAATGTGCCTTTAAAGAGAAAGAAGAGTATTGTGATAGAAATGTACATTATGTATCAGAAAACTATTACTGTTTTTCTGGGTAAACTTATAAATTCTCTATTAGTTACCTACAGATAGAAATTCTTTTTAATATTTTTAATTGCAACATTTAAGGTAAGGGTTGTTAAAGGAGCACAGTTTCAAAGGAGTTGATGGAGATTCCTTGGGGTAATTCTGCTTTGTTTGCTGCTCAGCACAGATGATTATTTTTATTCTACTTTCTTCACCACTCATCTTTCTCCAAGGGCTTCCTACTTTTCATGTGTAAAATCAGAGTTCAGGTTTGGAAGTAGTTGTTTAAACTCCAGCTGGACTCATTCTGAAAGATAGAATGAACGCCTGCAGGAAATTACAATAGTGAAAGTTACTGCCCTATTGTTAAATCTGGGGATGGGGAAGTGAAGGCCAATGGGATCGGTCCTCTTGTGATTTCATGAGTAGTATTCCTGAAGAGAACCCCGAGTCTGAGGTCCTATATGTCATCCTTTTCCTGCATTACCACTGCATTTAAGAGAGTCATTTATTTGGATGTGATATCTGCAAGCCCCTGTTTAGGTTCAGATATTATATTGCCCAAGGATGGAAAAAACACAATCCTTAAGCAACCATAAAGCATGTTGGCATGTTTTATGTCATCACAAATTAGGAGAGAGGAGAACAGATTCTTGAAGAAGAGGTGAGTTTTGAATGAGCTGAGTGGCACTGGGAACGGTTTCTAATATAAAATGCAGTCTAGACAGAAGAACTGCAGGGCCCTGGGCCTACTCAACCATGGTGGTGTTGGCGAGGAGGGGGCCGGATGCATGTTGAAGGACGGAGGTGACAAAAGCAGAGATGACTGGAGGAGGGAAACACTTGGACAACGTCACAGTTTCATCTGAGGCTTGATCTGAAAAGGAAAAACTGAACTTTTACAAGAAGGCTTCCCAGGTTCTATAGCTAGAAGGAAGCTCTGGTGCCCTGACCAGCCTCCGCTGACTCTCTAGCTCGTAAGTCACTTTCTGCCTTGTGTTATAGTTACTTTCCTGCCTTAGTTTCTCCCCCATTAGGCTGTAAACTCCTGAGGTCCATGGTCAAGTCTACTTCATCTTTGTGTTCCTCATAGTTCTGGTCTTGAACATAGCTGGCGGCTGAGTGAACGACGGCCAGCACAAAACTTGTGCTAGGCAATGACAGTGGGAGCGTGCAGGGAATAAGAATGTCCCTGAAGAAAGCCTTGCTCAACATTACTCAGTAGTGTCAGGAGATCACAGCCGACTGACGGAGGTAGAAAGCAAAATGAGCTAACTTTCCACAGGTAAACTGTCTCGTGAATAATTCGACAGCCTTGATTTCCCATCTATTACCTGCCAGGCACTCTGCTAGGCTCTATGTGAGGTTGCAAAGAAGAATAAGACATGGTCCTTGCTCTCAAGGACTCATTTTCTACCAAGAGAAGCAGCTGGCAAGAAGACGGTTAATCCAGGGGGCTGAGTGCTCCTGGAGGGAAGGCAGGGGCTGGAGTTGCACAGGGGAAGAGCACCTAAGCTAATTCCAAGGGCATCAGGAAAGTCTTCCTTGAACTAATCTTGAGGGAATAGGGGCTCTAATTCATGTAAAACGACTACGTTGAGGGTGGGGAGAGGGTTTCCAGGTTGTGGGAAACCTGTGCTGAGGTCAGAAATGAAAGGAAGCATGGTGTGTTCACCGAAATGGAAGACATTGGGATAGAAAAATATATTCTACGAAGAATAGAACAGGCAGGTAAACCAGACCTTTCGTAGACCACGTCATATTATGTTCTGCAATCTGTAGCCTGTTAGAAGTCAAAGAGTGATAAAAAATCACAAGATCTGTCTGAGGCTGCATCAATACCCTCCTGCGCTATGGAAACACGAGCAGCAATTACGCTGCTGTGGTTGTCAGGTCCTCGGGAGCAGAAGTGACAACGGTTGTGAAGATCATTTTATTGTTGCTATACATGTGTGGTTTTGAAATCAGCTTGTGATAGAGTATCAACAATATCTTTTTCTTTTCTTCGATGTATTTTTTTTCTTTCCTTTTTTTATTGTGCTTTAGGTGAAAGTTTACAGCTCAAGTTAATCTCTCATACAAAAATTTATACAGATATTGTTATGTGACGTTATTTGCAACCCTGCAATGTGACAGCACACTCCCCCTTTGCACCCTGGGTTTCTTGTGTTCGTTCACCCAGTTCCCATCCATCCTGCCTTCTCATCTTGCCTCTCTGGACAGGAGCTACTCATTTGGTCTCGTGTACCTGATTGCACTAAGAAGCACATTCCTCACGAGTATTATTTTTTGTTTTATCTTTGATGTACTTTAATTATCTTACATTAGATGCTTTTTCTTGGGTGACAACGGTGTAGTGTTTCTGCTGGGAATATGCCTTGAGCTGGTTAGGCTTTTGGTATCTCCCACACAGAAATAGGACTTTACAACTGTGAAGGAAAATTTGTATCTCTTATTTTCTCTCTGGTTCATCAAGAGGATTCGTTGATACAGCTTCATTTTGTGTTTTTGTGCCGCAGTACCTTAAGATGTAATGGTTGATGCAGCTGTTAAACGTTGAGAGAGAAAATGAGAAGAAAGAATTTCACTGTGTAATTCTATATTTCCCTTATTGCCTTCCAGAAACACAGAATTAAATGTGATAAATCAACTGGCATTATTGAGATGGTAATGGATAAATTCACTACTGACAATGAAGGTACCTACACTGTCCAGATTCATGATGGGAAAGCCAAAAGTCAATCTTCTCTGGTTCTCATTGGAGATGGTAAGCTGTAGTGAATATTTTCATATTCATAAAAGATAATTCAAAAAATATTCTTCTGACTAGACAGAGCCAAACAGTCTTTATATCTTTTTTCTTTAAATATTGACTTTAGCATTCAAGGCTGTCCTAGAGGAGGCTGAATTGCAAAGAAAAGAATTTCTCAGGAAACAAGGTAAGTAGCTGACTTGCTCCTTCACCACTAGCATAAAACAAAGACTTGGGTTTTGAATATTTGTTTGAAGCAGATCCTACATAATGCCATTTTAAATGGTCAAGAAATTTGATCATTTCTTAGCTGTAGAAATTTGGATACTTTTCTGTTCTTTACGGTTTATATTTCATCAAATCATCAGTATTTTTTTTCTTGTTTCTATCTTTAAAACCCCTGGAATCTATTGTTTGATTTTCATGTTTCCCGTTATTATCTTAGTCAAAGAAATAATCCGTCTTACCAGGCTCTGTGGCTGACTTGGTAACTGATTAATCTTTTCAATACTCTGCTGGGAGACAAATCTTCCCAAGCACTTTTTCCTTTTAGGTGCTTTTTTGCTTAAAAAACTTTAATAACTACATGTAGCCTACTAGAAAAATTTGGACAATGCTCCATGACTTCCCAGACTCTCCATAATCTGAACCTACCCTGCTAACCAAATTGTATTTCCTACCATGCCCCAGTACAACGCTGTGGACGCATCAGACTGATTTCTTTAACTTTCTCCTTTTCACCATGCCCATTCCTGTCTTTCTGTACTCTTGTCATTATGGCAAACTCTCCTATGACCACCTTTTCAAACCGAGTCACTATTCAAAGTCCCAAGTGGTCCTTCAGTTTTCCCTGTAGCCTTCCCTGACTGCAGGCACCCCCACTGGCTCCTTGTTTCTTTGTACCGTGCTTTGTCGGAGCTGTGTATTTTGGAGTTTAATATTACTTTGAACTCCTGAGGATTGAGGCTACTTGTTCTATGTCTTTTGTAGCATCCATAACACTTCTGCAGTGCTGAGCACATTCAGATACTCAGCACTTACCAAAGGGACGTTCAAGAGACTTTACAACTGAGAAATAAGCAAAGGGTTCCTCTGTCCTAAACGTCCAGATGGATGTTAGCAATTTTGAGAATTAAAGAATAAACAAAAAACAGGGGGTGGGTGGGCTGTGGCTTTATTAGACTTTGAAGGGTAGAGAGGGCAGTAGAAGTTATTCTAATTGCCAGGGACTTGTTTATTCCACTTAAAATGATTTAAATCTTTTGAAGGAATGTATTTAAACTACATTGTTTTTAAAAATGAATATTAGCTAGATACAAAGGAAAAAGGACACATTTTAGAATCTCAAACATAATCTAAGGGTTTATTTAAACAATTTTTTTGTACATGAGATTTTATTATACTGTTTGTAAAATATAAAATCGACATTTTTTTTATTATTTTAGTTTTTATTTTAATAGTCAAGAGTAGTTTATTTTACCCATTTCCACATTATGAATTTTACTAACTTTGTAGAATGTACTATGCAAGAGAAATTAATTACTTTTAAATCTGCTGTGTATTTTTTTGTCAAATGGGATAACGGTGTTGTTATTAGTATGTGGCTTCTACATTTATTTTAAATTAAAAAATGATTGATATTTTTGGAAAAAACTCATAAAACCACCTTTGATTTGAATGCTATATAAATAAGTTATTATGTGTCTAGGAAATTGCTAAGTTAAACTGCTTCATCTTATCTCTATTAATTTTTCTTGTTCAAAGTTTTCATATCCTATGCTGTTGAATATTCCGTTAGAAAGAAAATGTAATGGCTTCAACATTCTTCCTTCTAAAGAGCAATAGATACGAGACGTCAGCAAGAAGGAGAGATCAGTCAGTATGTTCCTAGTGGGAAATGCAGAGTCCAGTGGAGAATTAGTTTACACACATGTGGACTTCAGAGGGCTGAAAATTAATTATTTTGGTTTCATACTACACAGCTATATTCTTCTGCCAAAAGTACATTCAGATATCTATCTATTTATTTTTTTAAACTTTTTTTGGTTACTTTTTTACTATCTCCCCGTACCCCCTTAGGTCCTCATTTTGCTGAGTATCTGCACTGGGATGTTACAGAAGAATGTGATGTTCGACTTATGTGTAAGGTGAGAAATCAGTTCTAACAAGAATACAATATCATCCTTGTGACTATAAATAGAGACTTTTCAGGAAAGTAACTGTGGTCAAATCATATTATTATGACAAAATGCTTGGTGTTCGAATTAGGCATGAGTTGACAGAATGTTTGAATCTTGTGGATTTTTTCGTACTTAGACTTTTAATGCCTCTTAATGAAAAGATTACAGTGTTGTGGAATACAAAAGAAGATTTAAGTAGGTATTTTGTAAAAATATTTCCTTAAAATTTTAGACACTGAAATTTTGAGAAAGCATGCACTGATGAAATTCATCTGGTAATTTTCATACTGCTCATGATTTCATTAGGAAATAAAGAGTATATTTTGGTAATACGATGCTTCTTAAATTTTAGCAATTCAGTAATAGATAAGCTTTAATTACTACTAAATATATAAATCTGTATTTTTGGCACCAAACATTTAATTTAGAGATCTCCTGCTATATGACTGCCATTATATAAAAAGCTAGGGGTAAAAAGAGATGGATGATGCCCTATATTTGTCCTCAAACTACTTACAGTCTAATGAATAAGAGAGAAAATTAAAGAGCTAATTTCAATAAAGTGATGACTCCTGAGCTGAGTATTGGAGGATGAGTAAGAATTACACAGGTGAATCACGGTGAAAAGACTGTTCTAGGAAGACCCAACAGGGTGAATAAAGCAACCGAACTCTGAAACAGCTGTGTGGGAGACTAGATTGCAAATTATTAGTGAGTAAATTATGAGGCTGGTAAGATAGGTAGGGGCTACATGTGGAGGCCATTCCAAATCATGACAGCGATTTAGACAGTGGAGAGCAACTGCGGAGTTGGAAGAAGGAGAAGGATCTTTCTGGCTCCTTTCTTTGGAGGGTAAGGCTGGAGGCTCCAAGGCCGGAATGGAGGTATTTCAATAGGCTCATTGAGTGATGACTAGAACTTGAACAAGGATAGGGGTAATATGCATAGAAGAGAAGAGGTACATTTTAAAAATATTTGGAATTAAAACTGCAGGCATTGGTAGATAATTTGGTATCAGCGAGACGGAAATATCTTGGAAGACTGTTGTCTTGGTAGACTGAGTAGTGGTGTGCTGCCAGTTGAGATCAGCACTATAGGGTGATAACCACCTTTTGGGGTTTTGAGGATAAATTCAGTTTTGCAAACAGTTTGTTACGCTCATAGAACTGGCAATAGGATATAACCACCTTGCAATTGGATCCATAAACCTGGCACTCAGTGAAAAGAAGTCAAGCTTGGAGATACAGATTTATAAATTCTCAAGAATACGTTTGTGGTAAAAAATCATGTAAGTGGATCACATTGCCAAAGAACAGCATTTAGAGGCAGAAAAATAATAGAAAATTGTAGAATTCTAGGAAACATCAGATTATCAGAGTAGAGCAGGAGGGAAGCTCTAGAATGATTAAGGAGAAGCAGAAGTAGGAGGAGACACAAAAACAAGCAGCCTGATAGCAATTACGAGGGTAGAGAATGTCAAAGGGTCAAATATTACAGAGCAGTTTAATAAGAAGGGCTAAAGTACCACCATTAGATTTGTAAGGCTGTTCCTGTCCCCATTTAGTGGTATGGTAGTGATATAATTGAAATTGCAGTGGGCTGATGAAATAAAAGATAAGTGAGGAAGTGGGCACTGAGCCCATTCCATTCTCAAGCTGTGTAGCTGGGTAGTAATGAAGAGAGAGGGGTCGAGGAAGGGTTTCTCTCTCCGTTTCTGGATGAAACTCAATCATGTTTATAGGCTAAGGGGAAAGAGACAGAAGACCAAGTGAAGACAAAGGAGAAAGAGGGGGTATGTAATGAAGCAGCACCTTGAAGGAGATGAAAATGAGTGGACTGTAGAGTCATCACACCGGGTGACCCTAACCCTCTCATGCTGCGCCTCGACATTCGTTACTGCCAGACGTACAATGTGAAAGGCAGTCGTAGAGTGTTGGATGAGACAGTGGGTAAGTGAGGAGCACGTGTAATAGGTATTTAAAGGGAAAAAAACCTCATCAGATTATTAAGGGTAGGTTGTTTACCGTACTCTATGTTGGGAAAATAGGAATTGTCCTAAATGATTATCATATACAAAAAGATAGATGTCTTTAACTCTTTAGATACCAGCTGTAAAAAAAAAAAAAAATCAGCTCATTAGGTCATCATCAACTTCAGGGAAATGTTCCAGGTGCCACTTATTTTAGAGACCAGAACGAGGCTGGGTGACTCTGTTATATTTGGCTGATTATTTTTTCTGACCCTGCAATATTACATGCATGTCTACTCACAATGCTGGCAGGAAAAAATATGAATTCTGACTCCAAATATGCTCTGATATCATTTTAATGGTATATATCCTTCTATAAATATTGCAAACATTTTAAGTTCCCTCACTAAAGTCATTCATAAATCTTAAAATACAGCTATTGGAGAAATAAAATAAATATTACTAAAGATGTGAGTATTTTGCAATTTAATGCACTTAATTTGCATATATGGGGTCCCTGTCAATCCTGAGATTCTGTAAAACCATTTTCCTAGATAATTTTGTGTTTAATAATATTTGACAGTTATTTTTTATTTTACTTACATAAAATATTTGGAGAGAAATTTTATGCAAAGATACAGTCACATTATAACCTTATAGAAAACCATTTTTTTTAAAGAGAAAAGTTTAAGATAACAGACATCTCAATCATAAACAGAGGAAAAACTGTTAAAAATTTCTTACAGAGCACAGGGGAGGATTAGAGAGCCCCTACTTGTAGAAAGTCTGAGTTAGGGGTGGGACATGAGACCTCTGAGGAGCAATCTTGTTAGCTCTTTTACACATTTACGTGCACTTTAGATGCCCATATTTTAAAGAGTGGTAGAGAGAAGTTGAAGAGGCTTCAGAGAAGAGACAAGTGAGTTACTTAGGGGCATAAGAATCCCCCACCTGTAGGACAAATAAATTGATTGAGGACGTTTGTCTTAGAGAACAGAGTTTGGAAGTCATTGAGAAGGTTTTTAATTAGAGGAAAAGGACCAACAATTTAAAATATCTTTGAAGAAGACAGTAAGAGGAAAACATGTTGAATTGTGGTAAGAGACAGTGAGAGATTGGATTGACACCGGAAAGAGACACCAAAGAAGATTCTGAAATGTTAGCATAAAGGAAGTCATCTGCTAGACTCGTTTAGCTATAGTCCATCCTATCCTTTATTATCAACTTTAGAAAGAAGATCCTATTTTCCCGTCAATATGCAATACAATTCATCCATTCATTCAACAGACATGTACTGAATACCTTCTCTGTGTCAGCCACTTCTCCATGCATTGGGGTTTAACTGTGAATAAAACAGACAAAAATCTCTGTTTTATGGAGATTACACTCCAGTTTTGTCATTTTTATGTCAACTGACATGGCTGATAAAGACATTCCAAAATATTTTATACTGCCACACTATCAGAATTGATCATACTAATTTTTTGTAATTCTTTGGTGATCAACATCATTTTGGTTGAGTCCATTTGGGATCTGAATGCAGAATTGTCAGTCTCGTGTAATTCAATCCGGTCAGACGGAGTTGGAATTCTTACTCATCTGTAGGTCGTGTAAATCAGAGCAGGTGAACCAGAATTCTTACTCATCCCTGGAATTACTGCAAAGCTTAGTTTCTGGTTCAAGCTAATGTTAGAGATTAAATTGTGAGGAATTTCAGTAGACGGAAAGTCTTCATCCATAGCAAGCTTTTCGGATAAGGTTTTATTCCCTCTGCATAGATGCAGTCAGAAGTGTCTTGCTGCCAAAAGAGCAGCCACCCACCTGTTTTATAGACCTCTGAGAATATTCTGTATCATTTATAAGTCTCCAAATATATTGCTTATGACTTGTCTTTATTATTGAGATTTCATATAAACCAACTGATCTTTACACTACCAGATTTCATGGGCTAGAACGATGAGGAATCATTTGTTCTTTGGTATGCAACCATGAGGGCTTAATTATCTTAGAGACTGGGATTTAGAAATGTATTTACCATTATTAGGAGTGACAGCTTTCCATGAGTCTCTGTCTGAGACTATGCCTGAAATGAAAATTGACAGTTGTTTTTTTTTTTTTTAGGTCTGTGACTTAAGCTCCTAACAGACTTCTTATGAGCTAGAGTGATTCTAAACTTATGATTTTTTTTTCCGCAGGTTGCAAACACCAAGAAAGACACAGTTTTCAAATGGCTAAAGGATGACGTTCTGTATGAAACAGAAAAGCAACCTGATCTAGAGAAAGGATTCTGTGAGCTACTCATACCCAAGGCATGATGCATTAAGTAAAATGAGATATAAGCAAAACAAAAATACGTCTTTCAAATAACTCATAAATTTTGCATTATTTTCCATTTGCATCCTGAATTCCCATTGTTTGCAAAGAAAATGTATTAGCATTCATTATGTTTCATAGCTCAGTATGGATTTTACACAAATGTGGGATGTGTTTTATTTGTAGTTGTCGAAGAAGGACCAAGGTGAATACAAAGCAACCTTGAAAGATGAGAGAGGTCAAGATGTATCTATCCTTGAAATAGCTGGCAAAGGTAAAATAAAACCTTCTTTGTTCTACTAAAAATAAATCCATTTCGCCAACAGGCTGAGATGTGTTATGAAGGCAGATTCATCTGTAGGTCCTGCCATAGTGCATTTGTTGCTTTAGCAGTAACACAGTAGAAGAAAATATATTTTTACTTTAGTTGCATTAAAAGCTGCTTCAATGTTTTGGAAAAAATGTATGATACTACTTTGGGTTTATATGAAAGGTCATTTTAGTCCATCATCATAAGCCAGGTTTTATCCCATTACTAATGTAGTTAAAATGATTGAAACAGTGAAGAGCTGGTTCAATTAAAAGTATAGTTGGATTTATGTTGAGTAGAATGTTCTCGTTCCTTGTTTAAAAAGTGAACGTTTAGAAGGATGCGTTATGCACCTAAGCCTTGAATGGATAAATAGTACCAGTTTAATGTTTCATTTTTCAAATGAACATCCAGATTTCCTGTATCAATTTAATTGAACATGAAAACGCTGCTTTCTGATAAAATTATACATCTTAATGGTTCATTTCCCTTCTTCCTTTCAGTGTATGACGATATGATTTTGGCAATGAGTAGAGTCTGTGGTAAGTAAATTCCTTCTAATTTTCAAGTGATTCTGGGAGCTAAAATCACTATTTCCTGAGAGAAGAATTTACCATTGCAAAGGAGGAAGCTAATGGAACTGTAGTGCATATCATTTGATAGGTCCTGGATTAAATGGCAGAACAGTTATCTGACTGCTTTGGTGATGCTTTTTTTAAGGGCTTCTTCACCATTATATTTAAAGTCTTTTACTTAAAAAACCCAGTTTGGACTTCCTGATTAGCAACTTCTTCCAATTCGCCTTAGGTGGATTAGGATGAATGCTTTGCATTTAATTGTTATCGGCGTCTTTATTACAAATGTTGAATAGCAATATGGTCATGTGTATTAAACCATTTTCTAGTTTTGCAAATAGTTTTTCCCTCTCCATTTACCCTTCCGTGGAAACTGTGAGAATAAGTAAATTGATTATGAATTCAATAATATTTTATTTGTGGAGTGCATTGTGCTCAGAATTATAAAGTTTTATTATTGCAAGCTCATTAGAAATTATCTAATTTATATTTTCAGATCAAATAATTAAGGCCTATAGCAGTTAAGCGGCTGAACCATGAGTATTCAGCCATCTTGAGTCAGGATCCCAGCTGGAATCTAATATATCTTCTCAGTCCAGGCTTAACTGCTGTCTCACACAATTTTTCTGGCATTCTGAGAAACTTTTATATTTATTTTGTCATTTATCTGCGAGGTAGATTCTATTTCTTTCCGTTTTTGCTTGTCAAATGAATGACTACATTTAAAATGTGAGTTTTACTCTTGGTCATTAATGAGCCAAATAGTACTATCTGGATACACAAACCACTTTGTGAAGGTAAATTAAGTCATTCGGATAGTGGACTAGCTCTTATACTCCACCGAATTCTGTTGTGTTAAAATGTCATATAATGCTCTAAAAGGCCCCAGCATTCTAGTGCAATTGATTGCAGTGACTTGAACAAGTGAATGTATATAAGGAAGGGACCCAGCTAACGCAAAAGGTAATTTTTCTCACTTTATTCTCATCATCTTGGGTTAGAGATTCCATGACCGGAAGGGCCATGTACATTCTATTTGGAGTTAAATAGGGACAAAGGGAGCAGGTAGGACTGTTACCTCACTAGATGTTAAAACTGTTCCCCTGGGAAACCAGACACCCTATCTCCTGAAAGTCTTTGCATAACATTTTAGAATGGAAGGAGTAGAAGCAAGCAGTATTTAGTCTACAGTAGGTACACGTGGGTAGCAAAACAGAGTTGCACAACACACCAAACCAAAAAACTCAGCCCAGTGCTGTCAAGTCAATTCTGACTCCTAGCGACCCTATAGGACAGAGTGGCACTACCCCGGAGGGTTTCTAAGGGTGTAATCTTTACGGAAGCGGACAGCCACATCTTTCTCCTGTGGAGTGGTTGGTGGGTTCGAATCATTGACCTTTTGTGTAGGAGCTGAGCACTTAACCACTACACCACAGGGCTCCTAACAATAAACCATTCACTATATTCTATCAGACCGCCTGGGGCCTGAGCACCCCCAGCGTGCCCTCGGCCTCTTGCCTGCACCTCTCTAGTGCTAGCTGGGGCTGCTCTCTCTGTCCTGTGTTTGCAGGCTGAGTTAAGGTATTTTAGCCGGTGAGATTTCTTGGTGACCTCAAGGGGTCTTGGCTTCCTTGGGTGTTAGTCCTGTGTTAGTCTTGGAGGGACATCTTTGGGTTACAACTTTATATGTTTCATATGTCATAGATAGCATTGCCCATATGCTGTGTCCTGGGGACTCTTTCCTCTCAGAAAACATGGTGACTTTATGCTTTCATTATCAGTATGCTAGTCTCCATCCCTTATTATCAGGGAAACTATGCACATCTGCTTGCTTCCATTTCTTCTGAGAGCACAGGTAGTGCTAATACACACACACATGCATGCGTGCGCACACACACAGGTGCGAACACACACACGTGCACACATACACATACATGCACAAATACACACATGCACACACACACACACGTGCACACAAAAACACGCACACACACAGGCGCGCACACACACACACACACATACACACAGGTGCACAATACACGTGCACACTACACACAAGTGCACACACATGTGCACACACGTGCACGCATACACCCACGTGCACACATACACATATGTGCACACACACGTGCACACACACGTGCACACATACACACACGTGCATGCACACATACACAGACAGTTGCCCATTTGCTGCTTTGGGTCTCTTTTCCATGGAGGAGGTACATTATTCATTTTACAAAAGAACTGCAGATTTCCCAAACATCCTGGGGAAAGTTGGGACACCAAGTTATCATTTTTACAAGCTGCTTTATTGGTAGCTCATACCGTTTAGTAGGTAATCTTTCAGAACTCTAAATGTTGCAGTTTATTCTATTTAACTCCCATATGGACGCTCTTGTCGTCTCTAATCAGTGGCTTTCTAACATTAAAAGCAGTCTCATTTTGGTTAAACTAACGAAAGAGAGACCATTGAACGTGCGTTATTTCTGCAAACGTCTGAGAGTTATGATGAAGAACGCTGTCCTCGGGGGAATGCTGAAAATTATGAAACTGTTGGTTTAGAAAAGTCATATCATGCATATCAGAACGCCTGACTGGGCTTCTGCCTAACTGAAAGGTGAGTGTTGGATCTAGCGCTGCGGTTGCGTGTAGCATCAGGCATAATACGCGGCTAATGTAAAGGGCATCACCTCTGAAGGCGCGGGAGATACAGAGCTGTCAAAAACAGGAAGTTTACGTTTCGTGGAGCACAAAAACATTTCCTTTGTTTAGTTTTGTTGATTTTATAACCAAATTTCTCTTCACTGCTTGGCAGAGCTAAGGAGAGAGACAATTTCCCCCAAGTTTTCTAAATCCAAACAGGCTTTGGGGCTTTTCGTCTTTGGGAACAATGCTATGCCTCTTCTGGAGCCCAGAGTTTTGTTTGGACTTGAGGACCCACTAGAGGCTTTGGTTAAAAATGGGATCCTCGTTTCAGCCTGGCAGACTTCCAGGCTCAGCCTCTTGGCCCCATGAAGCCGCACACAGCATTCTGAAGGGACACTGTGTGACAGCAGAGCAAACAATGCCTTCACACCAGACACCTCATGGGTCTGCAGGGTAAAATAGCTTGTTTTCTGGTTTCTGAAGGTCAAAGGATGCTTTTAGCTATCAAGCCAATTTGTCGTGGGTAAATACAGATACAGTTGGGGTCCCTGAATCTCTCTTGCCCTCAATCTCCTCATCTACATAATAAAGCATTTGGACTGGATGAAGTCCAAATTCTCTTCCAGTTTTAGAGTTCTGTAGTTTTATACACATTATAGGGGCCCTGGTGATGCACTGGTTAAGAGTTCAGCTGCTAACCAAAAGGTTGGCAGATCGAATCCACCAGCCACTCCTTGGAAACACTGTAGGGCAGTTCTACTCTGTCCTATAGGGTTGATATAAGTTGGAATCGACTCGACGGCAACAGGTAAACACATTACAGACATATTTAAAAATAGTAACAGGTTATAAACTGAAAAACCTTCTTAAATCTCTTCCCATTGTAACTATATTTATTTTATAAATATTTAAATTTGTAGCATATTATAAAACTTACACATAAATTACACTTATTTGTATGTACGATGGCATATATGTATATGCTGTGCTTTTAAATCATAACAATTTCCACGTATGTGTATGTATGTCCTTAAAATAGGTATACTTTTCAATGTTGACTTTTGATATGGAGAAAACAAAATAGAAGCATCAAACTCTTTTAAGTTTTAGATATTTCCTTTAACTATACCTATCAAGGTGCACTGAGAGAGTCCACTTATTTTCACAGAATCTTATACGAGACCATATGAAGTATTTAGGTAAGAACTAGTGTCACAGCAAAGCTAGGTTATTTGTTCTGAGTCACTCAATTAATTGATGGCAGAATGAATGGAATAATCTAAATCTTCAGTGTTCCTAGATCAGGAATCTACTGTTCCTTCCAATATACTTTGGAATTGTTTCTTCATCACACATTATTTCTAAGACAGAGCCCCGGTGGCGCAATGGTTACATGCTCACCTGCTAACCGAAAGGTTGCTGGTTTGAACCTACCTAGCTGCTCTGTACGAGAAAGACCTGGAGATTTGCTTTCGTAAAGATTACAGCCTAGAAAACCCTATGGAGCAGTTCTACTCTGTCACAATCTACAAAGTATAGTATTACTTAAAGTGGGCCAAATTCAAAGGATATGCCCTGCTTTTTAATATGTATAGAACTCGGAAATATCTAATCAAATACCTTAAAAATCAGTTGCTGAAACAGAAACATCCATGGCAGCATTTTCTTTCAGCCTGACATATTGCAAAGATTAAATATCCACCTGGTTAAATTTTGTAGAACAAAAATATAAATGCTCCTTAGGCTTTAAAACGTCTTAGTAATGATGCAGTTGATGTAAAAGCAGAAAATAAGAGTTCGACTTAATAGTTAATGTTTGCTGAGGTCAGTATCATTCTTGGAAATTCGGCACTTGTAATCTGATTACTTGGAAAATGTATCCTGTGGTCCTTTCCTCTCTGCGGTTGGCAAAGTTAATTATCCATTGATTTGCTAACTGTAATGAAACCCATATGTTTCTGTAGCATATATTTTAACTCAGTATGCAGGGCTTGATGATCAGTATTTAGGGAAACTGCTTGGTAAGATCCCTGCATTTGCTTTGAGAAATTTTCTAGAATTGTTCCTCCTTGATCCAGTCTATGGCTTCATTTATGTTATCTTTTCCTCCTCTCTGCTTTATTGGAAAACTTTCTGGGCCCATGATCATGTATCGATTCCAGTATGAAAATGACTGAACTTTCCACTGTGTGGCCTTTTTTACGAATATAAAATTTCTGTGTTTCTGTGCTCAAGGATGTCTAGTTAACCTCTGTGATAGGTTTTGTGTAGGAAAGGAGCTTAGATATCAGTTAATCTCATTCACCTCTCGACCCGTTTTAGTACATGTGTTGGAACTATAGAGAGAAACAAATAGGAGGAAGGGATTTAGAAAAAAAGGTTTTCTGCTTTTTCTTCTTGGGCCTTTAATTTATTCTCTATTTCTAGCAAATCAAAGTATGGAGCCCTGGTTGGGTAGCAGTTAAAAAGCCTGGCTGCTAAAAAAAATGTTGGCAGTTCGAATCCACCAGCTGCTCCTTGGAAATCCGGTGGGGCAGTTCTACTCTGTAGAACTCATAGGGTCACTATGAGTCCGAATTGACTCAATGACAACGGATTTTCTTTATGCATGACTGTCTTAGTTATCCATTGCTACTATAACAGAAGTACCACGAGTGGATGGCTTTAACAAAGAGAAGTTTATTCTCTCACAGTCCAGTAGGCTACACGTCCAAATTCAGGGCATCAGCTCCAGGGGAACGCTTTCTCCGTTGGCTCTAGAGGAAGGTCTATGTCATCAATTTTCCTTTGGTCTGGGAGCTTCTCTGTGCAGGAACCTCAGGTCGAAAGGATGCGCGCTCTGCTCCCTCACTGTTTTCTTGGTAGTATGAGGTTCCCCACTCTCTGCTTCCTTTCCTTTTATCTCTTGAGAGATAAAAGGTGATGCAGGCCACACCCCAGGGAAACTCCCTTCACATTGGATCAGGGATGTGACCTGGGTAAAGGTGGTGTTACAATCCCACCCTAATCCTCTTTAACATAAAATTGCAATCACAAAATGGAGGACAACTACACAATACTGGGACTCATGGCCCAGCCAAACTGATACACACATTATTTGGAGGACGTAGGTCAATCCATGACAATGACAGTAAACCAAACTGGTTGCTGTTGAGTCAGTTCTGACTCATGGTGACCCCACGCGTGTCAAAATAGAACTGTGCTCCATAGGGTTTTTAGTGGTTGATTTTTCAGAAGTAGATCACCAGGCCTTTCTTCCAAGGTGCCTCTGGGTAGACTCAAACTTCTAACTTATTAGAATGATGAGACAGCTTTTTTACATCTCACAGTGACTGAAACCATCTTAGAATGATGGATCCTGACCTTGAAAGTATTTGTTTCAGATCTGGGCAAAGGACAATTTATTTCCCTGCCTCTGATTTATTAATACCCAGGAGAAGATGGTTTTTATTAAAAACAAAGTGAAAAAACCTAGAAGTATCAACAACATAGCTATCCTCTTACATGTACCTTATTTTCTACAGTGCTTTTGGGAGACTCTTTATTGACCAGCATCTCATTTCTGTCAAGTTTGACAAGGTGAACTTTCAGTCACCTATCTGTGTACCTATGGGTGTTTCCTGTTCATGTGGAGTGAGACTTTGGTTTTGTTGAGCCCAATTTTAACTTTTCCTTGTCATTTTGAAAAATAAGGATGCATTTTTGTTCCTTTAAAAATATATGCCTGTTTTTTATTATGTGTCAATTATACATCATTAAGAATATTCCACCGTTTGACAATGGCACCAAGGAACTGAAATGATAGCAACAAATGTTTCTTAAGGAAACTTCCCACACCATTCATTAATTACTACAATTATCTACTTACGAATAAGACCACATAAAGCTTCACATGTTGTGATTTCCACAGAACTGCTCTAGCTTTAAGATCTCGACTTCCCTCTGTATCACACCAAACTTCTCACATCTCTGCCTTCGTTCTTCCTCACATTTACTAAGATAGCCTTTCCCCCGAATGGAACTTCTAAGCACTCAATCCCCTAAAGTGATTTCCGGAAAATCAGTGTAAATGATGTATTTGACTAGAAGCCGGTTAGATTCCTCTCCCTGCCTGGACTTTATGGTTCCAGACCATCCTGGGTGATTCCCCGTCATTTCCCCGCTCCCCCAAGAAGTCCTCTTCTCATCTATTCCCACTCCTTTCCACCTCCACAGGTGTTCTTCCGTCGAGACCTGTCCACTCCACCTCTTGGCAGAGTTCCTCATTTCTGTTGTCTGTGAGGAGTCCCTGGGTAGTGCAAATGGTTAATGCACTCTGCTGCTAACCAAAAGGTTGGAGGTTTGAGTCCACCCAGAAGTGCCTTGGAAAAAAGGAAGGTTGATCTATTTCTAAAAAATCAGCCATTGAAAACCTTGAAGCACACAGTTCTACTCTGATACACATGAGGTCACCATGAGCAGGAGTCCACTCGATGGCAACTTTTGTTTTCAACCCTATGCTAGCCATCTGATGTGTTCTCCTGTATCTACATCTGCCTTTCTTTGCTCTCTCCATTCTTACTAAGGGCCACCTTTCTGGGCCCTGGATCTCATTCCTTCCTTAATTCACAGGCACTTCCTTCTCACCTATAGGGTCACTATGAGTCGGAATGGACTCGACGACAAGGGCTTGGTTGGTTGGTTCCTTCTTACCTAACCCACTCTTTCTTAAGCATCTGTAGTCTTTCCCTCTCTAAAAGCAACGTTCCTTCTGTTTTCTGTTGTCTGTTTCATGTTAGTGACTTTTCTTAAAGGTATGTGGATTCTTGGCTGTACTACCATGATGAGGGTCTCACGGTCTATCATTTCCTGTCCTTTCTGTCCATTGAGTTTCTGTGAGTTTTACTCACTTGAGAAACTGCTGGGATTTTAGGAAGAAGTACAGTTCAATATGTGTAGTCAATTCTCCATGCATCGGTAATTTACTCAGGCATAACTAGCACTCTTAGAAATCGTTTCACATACATTATCTCATTTATTTCTTACAATAACTGTCAGGGGAAGTGTTTTTATTTTATTTTTTGATGTTCTCAATTCACACAGGTTGACTTAAAATAAATGGAAATTAAAGAAAATCACAGTCACAGTCAGTTTATTTCTTTACATTGTTGGAATTATATATACAATATTTTCATAATAATTTTCATGTTTTATATAGGTTATATAGTCACTATTTTAAATAATCATGTAATATTTTATGGAATAGATGCACCGTGGTTTAAATGCTTCCCTATAAGGACATTTATAAGTTTTCATTATTATAAATAACGCTGCGATGCACGCCTTTGGCCAAAGAAGGGCTTTCTCAATATTAGGAATGTTTCTTTGAATAAATTCCCAGAAGTACAATTATTATGTAAAATACTATAAATATTTTTGAACATTCATGATATAAATTTTCAAGTTGCTTATGAGCGTTAAGAGACGGTATAAAAATAAATACCTCTTCTCCATAACGTTCTTACCAGCAGTTTGTGATATTTTCACTAATTACATAGACATAACTTTCTAAGTGAGGGAACACCATAAGGGTATGAAAATTCTCTAAGGTTACATGTCTAATAACAATATCCACTTTAAATTTGGAGTCTTTGCTGTAATAATGTATCACCTCCTAATCTTCTCCATTCCTGTCCTCTCCCCACCTCCCAGTATGATTTATCTCAATCAAATCAGTCCAAATTTTTCTCCACAAATATCAAGTATTTCTTAGATTTTTAAAAAATTGCCTGTGGGTTCTTCTGCTTTCTTTCCTTCTTATCTAATTTTCCCTCATCTTGAATGACCTAACCTGGTTTTATTGTCTCCTTGACGGCTCTTAATGTCCCTTTCGCTGATTTTCTACAAAAGTTAAGATCCGCATCAATTATTGTAGCATTTACCGCCTTACAGTGTTATATATCCTAGTTTGTCTCCTCTTCTTAAGCTGATTAAGCTGCTAAAGGGCAGATGTTGATTCTTTTTTAAATTATGTATTCCTTACGGCATTCAGCAAAGAGCTTTTGAAAAAAAAATTGTGACATGGTGAATTCTTATTTAATGAATGATTATGGTATGAAAAAGCATAAAAATTTGTGGCTGACAGTCATTAAAATATAACAGTGTGAGAATACGTATACGGATATGCAGATGGATACAGCAGAGACAGCTGGAAATAGCATCTTTCCTTTATAATGTAGCATATATTACTTTTCTTAGACTGAGTATGTTTTATTTCCTGCAGGAGCATCTGCTTCTCCACTAAAGATACTCTGTACCCCCGATGGAATAAGACTTCAGTGTTTCATGAAATATTTTGCAGAAGAAATGAAAGTGAACTGGTGTCACAAGTAAGTAAAACATCAATTGACAGTGGCCATGTCATAGACAAGGGCATGCACAGGGCTGATGGCTGGGAACAACATTCTCCACAACAGAAGCTCATGGCCCTGCCCATCCCCCACCAACATTCCCAGTTTCAAGACATCTTAACAACCTTTGGCTCAGGGTGGCGATGGTGGGGAGTCATGGCAGTGGGGAGGACATAAGAGAAGGACAATGGAAAAGAGACAAGTTTCTTCAACTTCACGATGTTGCTAAAGGTGGCCCCACCTGTACCACACGTTTTGTCTGGAATTTAGCAGAGAGCTAGTGGAAAAATAATATTTAGAAGACCTGGTCCAGATTTCCAGTTTGTTGATTTCCTACGAGACTTGATTAAAAAGAAAAGGACCCAAATTAACCCAATAATTAATCAACCTGAAACAATGGCAAGTTTTCTGTATTTTGTATTTGCTGCTCTGCTCCTTCTATAGGGGAGTAATTATCCCTATGAAATCAAGGGCCAAACTTTTCAGCACAGAACTCCCAGCATCAGACAAATCCTACCCTCCCCGGCCACCTGGTGTCCAGCTTCTTCCACATCTATATCAGAAGCTTAGATGTACAACAACTAGCCAGGACAGCACACTTGAATTTAAGAGTCCCTGGAGAAAATAGGATTGATTTCAGAATCCCATCCTCATAGGATGTAACTGCAGAGTAAAGTAGATTTCAGATATGGGGGCAGATGAACAGGGACCACGTCTTTTGTCTCACTTTAAGCGAAGAACACAAGGGCAGCATTTTAGGGCAGTTTTCCAACGATGTATGCATATCAAAATCTTAAACACTCCTCAATAAAATATTTCCCAAAGTGTCCTTGTTGTGCCTTTAGGTATCGTATCTTTCTAATTAATATTTCAGAAGAGAAACTCTATAGTTATGAGTATTTTATTTTTAAAAATATTGTTTTGTTTAGGTGAATATATTTGTGAGTGAATGAGGTTCTAAAAAGCTTCTTTTTTGCCTATTTAATTTTGACATACTATGCTTTCATCGTAAGTGTTATCTTTAGAAAAATAAAGTAATCAGACATATTGGAATCTTAGTACATCTTTATCTGGAATCTTACATTTCTGTATTTTTAATAGTATAGAATTCAATATCAGGTGGAGTCATTATAGATCCCATACTAAGGAGTTTATAAGGGAAGTGTATTAAAAACAGGATCTTTTTGTAAGGGATTCCAATAACATGGATTTCACAGACTGAAACTCTGGTGTATTTTTGTGATGTAATTGTTTGTAAGGATTTATTTTTTAAGACAATGAGTAAATCTATGTTTCTAGCTGAATCAAGCCTTCCCCTGCAATAGGAGAACTAATCACCTCTTCCCTGTGCTTCCTTGTTATTTACGACATATTGCCTTGTAGTAAGTTGTATGCAGTCGTAATATATGTCCTATATTCAGCTGTAAACAAGCTCATTCCCTGGGAAAGGATATCTCTTCTTCAGCTTTATTTCTCCAGTGCCTAGTGAGGTGCCTGGCCCATAGTGAGTAGCATGCTCTGTCCCGATTGCTGGGTACAGAGATTACACA